GCCGAGATGGGCACAGACCACACGGACGCTTCGGTATCATCTGACTCTTCCAGCAACTTCTTCAAAGCTGTTGTTCTTACCAAGTAATATACCGCCTCGTCTGGCGCCAGCTCCAAAGTGTGTGGGCATAATACCTTCTGTATCGGCTTCATTTGCAACAACAACAACCCACTGATCCCCGTCATCTATGCAACCATACGACCGACAACCCCTCATTTTATTTTTGCTCCGTAATTCTTTCCGCTATTGTGGAAGAATTTCGACATACCGAAAAAGAGGCCGAAAATTACTGAAAAAAGCCTCGTAAGAAGCATTCCGACATAATATGGGTTGGTAGCATTCCCGACCCCTCGTTTCAACCCCCTCATGCCACTCGGTGCATGATCGATAATGACCACAGTGGGTGCCGCTCCATGATCACGTAATCAAGGCTCTCCGAGTATTACTCATTTCAGGGTTCTCTCGGGGTGCTCGATACGGGGGCGGGGTCGGTGGAGGGCGCAAATGGTGCAGTTTTGGGTGTGAGCTCAGGTCCTGATATAGCGGGGGTCTAAAAACTGTACCGCGCCCAGGAAGGTACCTGGTTCCTTTTGCGAGGTCGGAACCGAGGAGATCCGGACAGGGTCAGGGATCTTTTTCGACTATCCCAGGAGTCGAATTTCTGACTTGAACAGTTCCACCTTTGTCCAGCTTAATGTGAAACGGCTGTTGGTAACCATGATCAGATGTCTCAGGATGGCGACGTAAAATGGTCATTCAGTCCCAAAAGGCAAAAAATAGCAAGAATGTGAATCACTATGTTAGGGTCGCCCTCACACACGTTGAGTGTTAGGTCGAATTATCGCATTGGCACATCAGGGTTCAGGCCTTGACCGTCTGACTGTCAGAGCCCTCGCGTCAATGCCGTCCGGTCTTGTCCGTTCCAGCAAGGTCCGATAGAATCGTTCCAGCAAGGTCCGATAGAATGCCCCAGCCAGTGGTCACTGGTCATGTCGACGTAAGGGAAAGGGTCAGCGTGGGTCGAGGAATAACTTTAGAGATATAACAGCGGAAGTTGCATGTGGTGACGTTGTAGTCCGGGCGGTCGAAGGCAGAGACATGTTGCGCGAGCGAGTGTTCGTTGGAGTCGAAATCGAGGACATCGCCCCAGACGAACTCATCACCGGTTTGACCTTGTACGAGACAGTTGAGGATGGCGAAAGAGCAGGAGGTGCAATTTGGGTCGTGTAGAGCGGGCAAACGTGTGTGAGAGCATGCCTCATTGAGTTCGACATTTTTGTGCACCTCGGAAGCGACATCCTCGGGTTCGACGCCGTCCAGGTACACGTGGAGTGTGTCCGCGAGTTTCCTTGCTGTGCGTTGGAGGCCAACGCTCCGTGGGTCGCAGGCCACGCCACATCGTTTCGGCGCGTTGTGTCGGACCACCGCCTCCCACACGGTGGGTAGATCGTACTTAAACGGCGATCGGAAGTAGTAGCACGAGGGGTGGGGCGCCCACGAGGAGGGAGTTGTCTTTTCGGTCACGGCGTTTGGCGTGTTGGAGTCGGAGCAGACGACGATGCCGGAGAAGCCATCGCACCATGGGGCGTTTGACCATGCGTCAAGACTTGCAGGTAGCGCCGTGGCGGCGGTCGTATTCCAGGCCTTCGCGCACGCTTCCGCCGGAGCACGGAGTGTGGCTAGAGCGGCCGGCGCCAGAGGGTCGTCGGCATAGGGGTCGACGCCGTCGAAGAGACCTAAGAAGAAGGCACCGAGGACGGCACCGGTAGTCAGACCGGCCGCGGTGGTAAGACCGACTGCGAGCTTAGTTTTCCGGGACCAGCGACCACCAAAGCTGCAGCCGCTGTTGGGCTGGCTGGTTTCTAGTTTCACATGTAGAGGTTCGTTGTTGAGTACGGCTCGCCAGTCAGCGGGTAGGTTAAAGAGGTGCAGCCGTTCAGCGGCAGTTAGGCGTCGTGCACTAACAGTCTCGGGCACTTGCCAAGGGTCTGTCTGAGCCTCTTCCTCTTCTCTTTGTGCGAATAAGTGGGTTGCTAATTCCTGCAGCGCCATGCCAAACGCCTCTTTACAAATCAGGTCAGACAAATCCGGGTCCTCCCACTCCAAATATTGCTGCAGACTGTGTCCCATCAAACGCTCAACACGTCCTGTCACCGTCGGCGACTTCTTATGAAATACATGTAACCTGTGCGCATCATTCAACCAATCAAAACGAGATGGCGACCAAGACACCGATCCAGCAACGTCTATCAGTTGGGTTGATGAACTCAGCTCCATCGCACCCAGCTCCATCGCACCCAGCTCCATCGCAACCGGGTCGGCCTCTGCTGCTCGCTCTCCGGCCATAAACTTCTCCACCGGCGCAATCACCGCAACTTCAACACTTTCCCCAGATGACGGATCATCAACACATCTCACCATCAACATCCGCACCACACAACCCTCCGTACTCGAACGCAGCCCATCCTCAAGCAATGACGCCACCAACACACACCAGTTACACACACCCCCCGTCACACATGCCAAGCCTTTCATAATTTTAAACCTACCACTGCTCCGGATCAGGCGGATCAGGCACCATTCCGGATCAAGAAAAAGGTGGGCGCTCACAATCATAGATATGTTTTGAGAAGATGGCGCGCGACTGGGTGGGAGCTAGGTCCACGTACTCGGAAGGTCGGGTATCTCGACTTCGGCCCCGGTGTGTATGTAACAGGCATTTGGGCCGTGACAGAAAAGGGTTTTCATCCTCCTCCTTTCCGATGTTACGTCACGTCGTTCGTCCGCATCTCGGTGGTTTCCGCGGACGCTTTCTTGCGACGCTCGGCGTCCTCGTCGCAACGGGTGCGCTCGACTATCTTGCTGACCGTTTCCAGCTTATCGCCACCTGCCTGGAGGCCGCCGTCCTTGCGGCGTCTCTGTCACGAAGTGGACGGGCTTCCCATAAGCGTCTTGGTAGTACGTTGTGCCGACACATTCCTGCAGTAAGCCATGCATGAGGCCACCGTTGTCGCAGCGTGAGTGAGCTTCACGCTGTTGGACCCTGGTTTGTTGTGCCATATCTTCTCTCGAACCAACCCTCTCCGCTGCGGCGACAACAGCCAACACCGGCACCCCGTGCCAGCTCTCATGTGTTTTGCTCCGACCCCTCAGACGGCAGGAATCACCGATACCCGACTGAATCCTCAACGGATCCAACACGGTGCAGTGCACACGTGTGTCCTAAAGAGTTGGTAACTAAAAAGAGCCAGATAGCAGGTAGGCCTCTAGCTCGCAGAGGCTCGCGGGTCCGGTGGGGTGAGCCATCTGACACAGGACACTGGCATTGGCTGCCAGCGGTCGTCAGTGATGACGTCCAGAAAGGTTGGTGAGGGGTTCTGTAGTTGGTCTCCGTTGCCGGTCACTCCGTTGCCGGTCACTCCGTTGCCGGTCACTCCGTTGCCGGTCACTCTGTTGCCGGTCACTCCGTTCCAGGGTGCGTTGTATAGGGCGTCTCGATCGCACCAATGCGGGCGTCCATGTTCGAGGTGAAGGTCGAGCTCGGTGAGACTTTCGGGGGGATCGTCGGGGAGCTCTTCGGCCGCGATCGCGATGAGTAAGTCGTTGGCGCCAAAGTGAGGAGTGAATGTGCCCTCGAGGACCTCGTCGTGGCGCCAGAGCTCGGCGTTGAGGCGTGAGTACCAAATGCAGCGTTTGTGGGCGTTACGGCCAAGTTGTTCGAACAGCAACGAGGCATAGCCGGGATTTGAACTGGGGAGTCCAGCGCGCGGCGCGCGAAAGCCGACAACGGCTTTATGCAATTCCAGCGGCGAGACTTGAGTCGGTACTCCAGCCACGCGCAACGCACCTACGGAACTTTGCACGGTATTCACATACCACTGTTCCGCACGCGCACGCGCAGCCCGCACCGCCCTCAACCGCACCAACCGAACACCCCGCTCCGGCGACCACGTCGCCCACCCCGCCGGACACAATACCTTCTGCACCGCACACAACGCCCACGCCCTAACCGGACACCTTCCCCGACCCAACTGACAACCCAACATTTCTATTTATTTTTTGTTCGGAACCCCCCCCCCCTCACCGCCCGACGAGCTACTGGGCCAGGAGACATGGCATCCCAAAGTCTGACCCCAGACCGGTAAGCACACACTTCGGGGTACAACTGAATTTCCAGGGTATTAAGAAGTGAGGACCCAACTTCGTATACTCGGTTGTAGTGTCTGCCATCCAAGAATGTTGCACCGGCGGCAGACACCGGGGAAATCAAACTTGTACGGACAGCCGCGGCTATGACAGCTCCCTCGGGACCGCCTCCTGGCCGCGGTCATCTGCGCAAACTGCTCAGCCGTCGAGCTTCTCGCTCGAACTGTTTCCAGCCGTCGAGCGACAGCAATCTCTTCCGGTTCCCCAGTAAGCCGCACTCCGATGCGCGCATGAGGAGGTCAGTTCGGCTTCAAACGTAACAAACATTATTCCCAAAGCCACACAGGTGTGTGAAAATAACACGGACAATAAAAAGGAGTTCCTTCGTGACCAGTTGGTCACTGGGTGTCATGGTTCTTGGTCCAGGGGCCGGTGCGGAATGTGCAGACCCTGTCGCCGACCTGAATGATTCCGACCCAACCGGTCTCGAAGGCCGTGCCGACGGCCTCAGGATGTGGCGGAGGATTCTGCCCTTTCGCTGCCCACGCGTTCACCACCGCCGCACTGTCGCCGAAGGCCGCTCGGAA